AGGGGCACGTCCCTGTGGCACCTGGCAGCTGTGCCCAGCATCTCTGGCAAACCAACCTGATGTCACCAGCAAAACCTGGCTTTTATTTCTTTAAAACTGTCCCCAATCCGGGCTGGGTTTGGTGTTGCAGCCGGTGCAGGAGATGGGGGAAGGTGTTGGGGTGCCCAGCTGTGTCGGGGGGTCCTGGGCCCCACCTGGGCTGGGCAGGGCTTTGGGAAGCTCTCAGAGTCATCCCCACCCAGGAGAGGGTCTGTCCCTGCTCTGGGAAGGACATCTGTCCCTAAGAGAGAGCTAAACTCGACCTGGGCCCTTCCTCACCCAGAATCAAACGCCGTGCTTGGGCTGCTTGGGGTTTCCAGTTTGGGGTTTCCAGTTCTGTGCTGTCCCCTGGCCAGGTGAACACGCAGCTCTACAGCCTGAAGGAGAAGCAGCAGCTGGCTGAGCTCATCAGCACCATGCTCACCTACAACCTCACCTACCTGCAGGAGCGCCTGCCCGAGGGCCAGTACGTCTTCAAGCTGGACCCGTGAGTGCCAGGGCTGGGGAGGGGCACTGGCAGCCAAAATCCTTCCCCGGGAGGCTGGAATAGAATTCCCAGAGAAGCTGGGGCTGCCCCATCCCTGGAAGCGTCCAGGGCTGGGTTGGATGGGAGCTGGAGCAAGAGGAAGGTGTCAGGGTTGGAGCTGGATGATTTTAAGATCTCTCCCAAGCAGCTCCAGGATTCTGTGATGGTCCTCAGGAAGGAATTGGGACTTTTGGCTTTGCTCCATCCCCAGATCAGCTGCCCCATCACTCCTTGGGCTGAGCAGAATCTCTCCCAAGCAGCTCCAGGATTCTGTGATGGTCCTCAGGAAGGAATTGGGACTTTTGGCTTTGCTCCATCCCCAGATCAGCTGCCCCATCACTCCTTGGGCTGACCAGGATGGGTTGATTTGATGGGATTAAAGGGAAGGGAGCTGTGGCTGTCACCAGGAGGTGGCAGGACAGGGGCACGTCCCTGTGGCACCTGGCAGCTGTGCCCAGCATCTCTGGCAAACCAACCTGATGTCACCAGCAAAACCTGGCTTTTATTTCTTTAAAACTTTCTCAAGCATTGGTTTGACAACTGATTTCTGAATGACTGCAGAGCCACCTGACTCCAGGCTTTGCTCCTTTTATTTTAGGGGCAATAATGGTGGATAAATCATGGACAAATAGCAAAAAATTAGTGGATAAATAGTGGATAAAGATGAAATATTCAGAGCTGGCAGAGGGACTGGTGGCTCCTCAGTGCTGGGGAGACTGAAACAGGCCTGTGAAGAATCCAGCTGCTCTGCTGATCCCAAATTCCTGTTCCTGGCTGGATTCCCCTTAAACCTGTCCTGGGGGGCACCTTGGGGTTGTGCTGCTGCCATGCCTGAGCTGTGCTGTGCCCCTGAGCTTTTCAGGGCAATCTGTCCAATCTCCTCTTTTTGCTTTCAAGCCAGGATTAAACCCCTCTAATCCCTCCTGCATTCCCATTCCCATTCCTGCACGGGGGGGAAACTGAGTGAGGAATGACCCAGGGACTGGGCTGGGGTTTGCTGTGGCTCTCAGGCTGCACAGAACTGCCTGATTTTTGGGGTTGCTTCCCCTTGGAGTGACTCAGGGGCAGGGCTGGGAGGTGCTGGGGCTCTCAGGCTGCACAGAACTGCCTGATTTTCGGGGCTGGGATGTGCTGGGGCTCTGAGGCTGCACAGAACAGGCTGATTTTTGGGGCTGGGAGGTGCTGGGGCTCACAGGCTGCACAGAGCTGGCTGATTTTTGGAGTTGGGCTGGGCTGGGATGTGCTGGGGCTCTGAGGCTGCACAGAACTGGATGATTTTGGGGGTTGGGCAGGTCTGGGATGTGCTGGGGCTCTCAGGCTGCACAGAACAGGCTGATTTTTGGGGCTGGGAGGTGCTGGGGCTCTGAGGCTGCACAGAGCTGGTTGATTTTTGGAGTTGGGCTGGGCTGGGAGGTGCTGGGGCTCTCAGGCTGCACAGAACAGGCTGATTTTTGGGGCTGGGAGGTGCTGGGGCTCTGAGGCTGCACAGAGCTGGGTAATTTTAGGGGTTGGGCAGGGCTGGGATTTGCTGGGGCTCTCAGGCTGCACAGAGCTGGTTGATTTTCGGGGCTGGGAGGTGCTGGGGCTCACAGGCTGCAGAACAGCCTGATTTTTGGGGCTGGGACTCTCAGGCTGCACAGAACAGGCTGATTTTTGGGGCTGGGACTCTCAGGCTGCACAGAACAGGCTGATTTTTGGGGCTGGGACTCTCAGGCTGCACAGAACAGGCTGATTTCAGGGTTGGTTCCTCTTGGAGTGACTTGGGCAGGGCTGGGAGGTCCTGGGGCTCTCGGGCTGCACAGAACAGGCTGATTTCAGGGTTGGTTCCTCTTGGAGTGACTCAGGGGCTGGGCTGGGGTTTGCTGTGGCTCTCAGGCTGCAGAGCTGGCTGATTTCAGGGCTGCTTCCCCGTGTCCTGTGCTGCAGGGACGTGGAGGCCGTGTGCCGCTTCCCGGCGCTGCCGGCCCGCAGGCAGCTCAGCTACCAGGCCAAGCAGCTCATCGCCAGGGAGATCGAGCTGGAGAAGATGAGGAGGGCAGAGGCACGGAGCCTGGCCCAGGTGGGCACCCCCAAAGGGCTGCCAGGGCCCTTCGTGTGCAGCAAATCCCCAGGGATTTGGTTTTTCCCCAAAGCAGCCGCTGGCTTTGGCTGCTGGGTGGAAATCCAGGATTAACCCCCCTGGCTGCAGATGTTTCCCTGCACAGCTGGGCTGCAGGGCTCAGCTTTTTGTAGGAATTCTGGAGGGAGTTCAAGCTTTGAACCCTTCCAGTGAGGAGGTGGGAATTTCGGCTGGGAGGTTCAGGTGGGAATTTCAGGTGGGAATTTCAGGAGGGAATTTTTGGCTGCTGTTTGTACCTGGCCGTGTGGGAGGTGAACTCTTCCCTGCCTCCCCTTCCCTGGCTGCTGACACTTCCAAAGGTCCCAAAGCCCCCAGGAGCAGCAGAGTGGCTCTGCCCACTCTCCTGGAGGCAGGAAAAGATGGGAAGGGGTGGAAAAGGTGGAGAAACATCCTGGGTGTAGCTGAGCCTGCCCTGCCCTGGTGCCAGCGGGGTAATTAATCCCTGGGAGCCCCTTGGAGCAGGAGAGAGGCTCCTGGGAGGTGTGTGGGACAAAGAGAAGCTGCAAAAACACCTCTGAAGGCTCCTTGTTTACATGGTATGGATGTGAAATCCTGGAGGAAGGGGCTAGATGTGAAATCCTAGAGGCAGAAAACGATGGGAAAATCCCTGGGATGTTGCAGCCCAGCCTGGGTGGGATGGGGGCCAGGGGCTGACAGGTGCTCAGTGCCCACCCTGGAGCTCAGCCACCCCGAGGGGAGCCTGGCTCAGCTCTGTCCTCCCCACAGGAGCCTGGGAATGGCCTCGGGGAGGAGCGAGGGGACACGGGGACCCCCAACCACCAGCAGCGCCTGGAGCACATCGTGAGGAGAGCAGCTCTGCAGGACAAGGTCAGGCCCCAGTTCTGCCCCAGTTCCTGCCCCAATTCCTGCCCCACTTCCCACCAGCTCTTCCTGGGCTGCCAGGCTCTCCCTGGCTCCACTGGAATTTGGATTTTTGGTCCAATTTCCTATAATAGCCCAGCCCAGCTGTGTCCTGTAAAGGCATCTCTGGGATTGGCAGGAATTGGAGCTGGGTTTTGACATTTTGGATGTGTCCCGGGAAGTTTGCAGGGCTGGGGGAGGGAGGAGCTGTGGGAATTTGGGCTGAAATAGCTGAATTTGGGCTCTGTGGCAAAGCAGCTTGGAAAAGCTGCTCTGGAATGATCCTGGGCATCCCTGGGCTCCAGGAGGAGCTGGGATCCTTCCCTGGCACTGCCCCTCGGCAGGGCCCAGCTGCCAGCCCTGTCCTGGCTGTAAAACCCCACCTGAGCCTCACATTTTGCCTTTTCCCCCAAATTTGGATGCTGTTTGCATTGCCAGGCCCTGGCCCTTCCTGCAGGATTTGCATTTGGCTCCTGCTCTGCCCAGAGGAGCCTCGGGGTGCCTGAGCTGTGCCCAGGGACAGCCCTGCTGTGGCTTTGTCCCTCTCTGAGCAGCAGCTGCAGGTGCCCCAGAGCCACCCCCATCCCTGCTCTTTGCTTCCCACAGCCTGAACTGGATTTTTTTGGGAGGCCACTCCAGAGGAAAGAGGCAGCCAAGGCGCCGGGTAGGTGACACAGGCTGGGGTGGCACAGGGACAAAGAGTCCCTGAGCTCTGGGTGGGTGGCACAGGGACAGGGTGGCCCTGGCTGCCCCTGGGGGCTCTCCCCATTCCCAAAGAGGGGCTCCTGTCCCTCAGCCCCATCCCCAGGGGACAGCAGCAGGGACAAACCAGCCCAGCCCAGCTGGCAGGAGTTCCTGTGGCACCTCCATGGAGTCTGGCCCCATCCAGAGGGAATTTGGGGTGAATTTTTTGGTTGCAGCATCCAGGATTTGGGAGCACCAGCTGTGCCCTGCCCAGCCCTCCCTCAATGCCCCCTTCCAGCCAGGGCACAGCTGACAGCCTGAAGTTCCCTGCACGTTTTTAAAGTGGATTTTCCCGCTCAGCCCCTCAGGTTTCCAAGGAGGAATCCCTGGAGCTGCAGCTGGGCAAGGCCGTGGGGAGGAGCGATGTCTGGTTCCGCTTCAACGAGGGCTTCTCCAACGCTGTCAGGAGGAGCCTCTACATCAGGGACCTGCTCTAGGGCTGCTCAGCTCAGCTGCAGCACCCCCAGCTTCCCAGCCCCTGCCTGGGCTCTGTGGCCTTGATCTTGGGCCGTCATCTTTTTATTACCTGCTTATTTTTGTTTAAAAAAAAGAAATAAAATGTATATAAAAAAATCAGTGGTGAAGTATTGCTCTGTTTATTTCAGTCATAAACCTCGAGGTGTCAGATTCTGCCTGGTTTGCTGTGAAACTATGTCCTACAGTGTACAAAAGTATCTAAAATCACCAAAAATGGGGGGTTTTATAAAAAGCTTCTATACAAGTTGCAAAAATCTGCCTTTTTCGGGATGAAGCTGCAGCGAAGCCCTGGAGCAGCTTTTGCTGCTGCTGGCCCCCAGGCTGCCCATCCTGGGGGGCTCCCCCGTGTCCCCCCACGTCTAAAACCCCTTCTACAGCTACCAGCGAGGGAAGGGGGCAGGGCAGGGTTTGGCTCGGGTTCTGCTGCTGGAACTGGAGCTCAGAGGATGATGCATTTGCCTTTCTCCACCCAGGGGTTGTTCTTCATCAGCTCCGGGTTCAGGAAGGGATCCTCGGGAATCCCGTCCTCGATCCACTTCACGAACCTGCAGGGAGGGCAGGGAGGGTGGGCACGGCCCCGGGGGGTTTGGGGGGCTCAGGGTAAATCCTGCTCGGGTGGGGGGACGTGGGGGTGTCCCCAGCTCTGTGACAAAGCAGGCAGGGAACAGAGCCACCCCTGATTTAAGGTGGTTTGAGCTCTGCAAAGCTCTGGGAAGGGAGGTCAGGAGGTGCCATGGTGCCACCACATCCTGGCACCCCCTGAGCTTGGGCAGCTGGAAAGGGCTTGGGGACACCGGGGGGGTTCTGCCCCTGGGTTTGGAGAATTTGGAGATCCAGGAAGGGAAAATCTCATCCCTGGGGAGCTGAGGGGGGAAAAGGGGGCTGGGGTCTGCTCTTGGGGGCACAGGGATGGGATGGGATGGGATGGGATGGGATGGGAAGGGAAGGGAAGGGAAGGGAAGCCCCCACTCACTCAGGTATGGTCTTGGAGGACATCTCCCTCTTGTAGGCCAGCTGGTACTTGAGGCTTTCCACCTCTTTTTTCCATTGTGGGAGATCCCACTCGTCCATGGCGCTCTCCGAGGGCTCCGTTGGGCTGGGAATGGGGATGTTGGTGCCTTGTCCTGCCCTGGCCCCTCAAGTGCACCCCAAAGGCTCCCCCAGGATGGGGCCAGCGTGTCCCAGGCTCCGGGGAGGTTTCCAAGCCCACAGAGGAGCTTTTGGGGTTGTTTTGGTTGAGGCAAGGGCTGCCCGGAGCCCTTCTCATGCAAAGCGCAGGGACTGAGGCAGATTTGACTGGAATTGGGGCGGGAGCAGCCGAGAGCAGCCCGGGGCTCTTTGGGAAGGGGCTGCTTGTCCCTGCCCTGCCCGGCCACGGCTCCGGAGGGACCGGCAGGGATTCGGGGCTGCCTCAAGAGCCCTGGAAACGGCTCAGGGGGCGGCCAGCACAGATTTGGGGAGCAAAGCAAACCCCTCTGCACCCCCCACCCCAGCGCTGACCCTGGGGGAGGACGGGCGTGCTGGGGAAACTGAGGCACGGCAGCTGAGGGGGCTCAAGCAGTGCCCACAGCCCCCAAAATTTGGTGGCACAAGGAGACATTCCCCTGTCCCCAACCCTGCCACGACCCCCGGGGATGCCCCCGGCTCCGGGAGGGTGAAACCCTGCCGAGGGCACAGCTCCATCCCAGCCTGGCAGCCCCAGAGCTGCACCGGGAGCGGGGGCAGCCCCTTCCCGGCCCCCATCCCGCACATCCCACCTGGTTTGGGAATGCCGGCAGCAGAGAAACGGGGCCGCGGCTGCAGCCTGGCCCGGCCGTGCTCCTCCCGCAGCGCTCCCGGCTCCGGAGATCCCAAAGGCTCGGGGCAATCTGGCAAAGCTCGCCCGCTGCGGCTGGACCAGGCGGAGCCTCCCCCCGCGCCCCCGGGATCCGGCTCCGAGGGAGCGCCCGGGATGGAGGCACCGCCCGCAGGGCTCGGGGATTGGGGTTATCCTGTAGGGCTCTGGGATTGGGGTTATCCCAGATGGGCTCTGGGATTGGGGTTATCCCGCTGGGATTGGGGTTATCCTGCAGGGCTCTGGGATTGGGGTTATCCTGCAGGGCTCTGGGGTTGGGGTTATCCCGCTGGGATCTGGGATTGGGGTTATCCCGCTGGGATCTGGGATTGGGGTTATCCCGCTGGAATTGGGGTTATCCCGCTGGGATTGGGGTTATCCCGCTGGGCTCTGGATTTGGGGTTATCCCGCTGGGCTCTGGGATTGGGGTTATCCTGTAGGGCTCTGGGATTGGGGTTATCCTGCAGGGATTGGGGTTATCCTGCAGGGATTGGGGTTATCCCGCCGGGCTCTGGGATTGGGGTTATCCCGGCTGCCCCCCCTGGAATTGGGGTTATCCAGGTGACCACCTCTGGATTTGGGGTTATCCGGGCTGCCCCCCCTGGAATTGGGGTTATCCGGGCTGCCCCCCCTGGAACTGGGGTTACCCCAGCTGCCCCCCGGCCCTGAGCAGCACAGGGAGGAGGGGAGGGGTGGGGGACATCCCCAGGGAGGCCCTGGATCCCTGCTGGGATCCCTGACCTGATCCCTGCCCCAATCCCTTCCCTCATCCCTGCTGGGATCCCTGTCCCGAGCTTTGCCCGAATCCCTTTCTTCATCCCCTCCTCATCCCCTCCTTCATCCTTCTCTCATCCTTCCTCCATCCCCTCCTCCTTCCTTCCTTCATCCCTTCTTTTCCGCATCCCTTCCTTCATCCCTTCCTTCATCCCTTCCTTCATTCCTGCCCCATCCCTTCCCTCATCCCTTTCCCGCTCTGCTCCCCTCTGGATTTTGTGGCTTTTCCCCTTCCCGGTGCTGGAGGAGTTGGAGAGGCTGAAAAAAAAACTAAAAAAGTGGAAAATTAAAGAAGGAGCAGCTGGGACGGAACATCCAGGCAGCGCCATCAATAATCAGAATTATTAATCAGCATTATTAATCAGAATTATTAATCAGATTAATCAGATTAATCAGAATTATTAATCAGAATTATTAATCAGAATTACTGATGGGGCATTTGCAGGACGGACAGAAGCCCCGGGACAGCTGGAGCTGATCAAAGCCAAAATAATCCATGGAAAAGCAGAGGTGTGACCCCACACCTTCGTTAAGGTGTTCAAAATTAACTTGGGGTAAAAGTTGTGGCTTAAAAAATCCCAAGCAAGGTTTGCACACAGCAAAGGCCACCCCAGTCCTGGCCCGGGCTCCTCCTTCCCCGGGGATAAACTTCTATAAATATCGAATATTTATAGATAATATTTATAATTATAAATTATATATAAATATAAGTATATATAATTTATAAATATAATACAAAATTTATAAAATTTATAAATAAATATAAAAATAAATTATATATAATTTATATACCATATTTATAATATTTATCCCCGGGGATAAATGTATATAAATTTATATTTATAATATAATATATATCTATATTATATTATAAATATAAATTTATAATAGTTATAATTATAAATTATATAGAAATATAATTACATATAATTTATAAATATAATACAAAACTTATAAAATTTATAAAATTTTATAAATACATTTATTTATAAAATTTATTAAAAATAAAAATAAATTATATAGAATTTATATATAGTTATTAATCAGAATTATTAATCAGAATTATTAATCAGAATTATTAATCAGAATTACTGATGGGGGATTTGCAGGAAGGACACAAGCCCCGGGACAGCTGGAGCTGATCAAAGCCAAAATAATCCATGGAAAAGCAGAGGTGTGACCCCACACCTTCGTTAAGGTGTTCAAAATTAACTTGGGGTAAAAGTTGTGGCTTAAAAAATCCCAAGCAAGGTTTGCACACAGCAAAGGCCACCCCAGTCCTGGCCCGGGCTCCTCCTTCCCCGGGGATAAACTTCTATAAATATCGAATATTTATAGATAATATTTATAATTATAAATTATATATAAATATAAGTATATATAATTTATAAATATAATACAAAATTTATAAAATTTATAAATAAATATAAAAATAAATTATATATAATTTATATACCATATATATAATATTTATCCCCGGGGATAAATTTCTATAAATATCGAATATTTATAGAAAATTTTTTTAAAAGTATTTAAAATCAGGTTAATGTTAATATATGGGTTTGGTATTTTATTAATATTAAATATGGATTTAAATTAGAATTTAATATTGGATCTTGTGTCTCTGCATCACACCTGGGCTGGGCCCATTCCCTCATTCCTGAGGGAGGGAATTCCCTGGGGGAGACAGGACATGAAGGTGGGGTAGAAATATAAAATAATAAAAAAAAATTAAATATTGTAATCGACATTTAAGATTATATATAAATATGATAGAATAAATATTATAAATATATGATAGAATCAATAATAGTATAAATAGATATGATGATACAATAGAATATATATATGTATATATAATGTGTATATATATATATTATATATATATAATTGAAAGAAAATATAAAAGAGAATCATGGAATGGTTTGGGTTGGTAAGAACCTTAAAGACTATAATAACCCCCCAAAAACACCCAATAAAAAAAATAATATAAAAAACCCCAAAGAAACCAAAGCAAAAATAAACCCAATAAAACCCCAAGCCCAAAAGAAAATCCAACCCCAAAAATCCCACCCCAAACCAAGTGAACACCAAAAAAACCACCCAAAATGCCAATGTAACAGTGGAACTTGGACAGTTTTAATGAACACGGTGTCAGATTTGCACCCAGGTGCATTTTTGGTGGGACCTTTGGGACACCCAGAGCTGCAGAAGGCCCCAAACCCCAGTGGAAATGTGCAAAGTGCCCTTGGGCACACTCTGAGGTTTGTTCTCCTGCCTGCCCAGGGACCCCACAGGGGCAGAGCCCAGCCCAGGCTCCAGAGCTCTGCCCAGGTCAGTGATCTCCAAATTCCCCCCAAAATTAGGATTTGGGAAATGCACAGAGACACCTGCACCAATCGAAACCTTCTTTTCAGCAGAAAACCAAGGTCCAAAGCTGGATTATTTCCAAATAAAATCAGCTCTCCACTGCTCCACACTGGGGTTGTCTGAAGAAAACAAAGCTCAGTTTTATCTTCCAGCCTCTTGGTTTAGAATGAAACCCAAAATCAGAGCTGTGCAAACAGCACGTGACCCCAGCCTGCTGCAGAGGGAGCTCTCAGCTCCCTGTTTTTCCTGTTTTAGCTTTTCCCTCTCAGCAGCTGACTCTTGCAAGGTTTGTGTCCCAACAGGAGGAAAAATTCTTTGCTGCTCCATGCTTTTGTCAGCTCCAACCTTGCTGCTTCTTCCAACAACTCCTGAATAAGTGGAACTGCAAGAAATGGCCAAAATGTGGCTCTGTTCCCACTCCAGAGCCAGGGAAGTCAGTTTTTAGCTGACTCTTCCTGGAGGTGACAACCAAAGCAAACCCAAGGAACTCTCCAGGAAGAGAATGGTTAGATGAAAAACCAACTGGAAAATATTCCCGAGGATTTGGTCCCAATTAGAGCTTCTGAAAAGCACTGACAAACTTGGAAACTTCCTGGTGAACTGTGGTGCCAAAGGGGAGCTGCCTCAGCCCCTGGGAGGAGAGGAAAACACAGTTAATTCCCTTCAGGAATGGGTTTTTAATACAAAAATAATTTTAATATTTAATTAGTGAGGGGTATCATTGATCTGCTTTGCTGCTAAATCCTACAAATCCTGGGATTTGTACTCACAGACTCGTGGAAAAAGGTGCAGAGCTGCTTGGCCCAGGGACACCTGAAACAGAGAGAAATCCCACTCAGTCACTCCTGGCATGCATGACTCAAAAACCCCCAGAAATCCAAGTTTTCCAAGCCAAGGTGGCTCCAGATTTACAGGAGAATGACTGGAGGGAACCCCAGGATCTGCAGGTGGCTCTGGGGCAGTTCCCAGGGGGACAATCCCAGGATTTCAGGGGCCCTGAGCAGTCCCAGTGGGACAACCCCAGGATTTCAGGGGCCCTGGGCAGTCCCAGTGGGACACTCCCAGGATTTCAGGGGCCCTGGGCAGTCCCTGTGGGACAACCCCAGG